GGGGTGGAGTGGGTGGTAAGGGAGGGGGTGGGGGCAGGGGGGAGAAATGAACCAAGCCTTGTATGCACATATGAATAATAAAAGAAAAAAAGAAAAAAAACATCACAAAAAAGGGCTGGTGGAGTGGCTCAAAGTGGTAGAGCAACTGCCTAGTAAGCGCAAGGCCCTGAGTTCAACCCTTAGCACCACCAACAACTAAAAACAAAATTAAAAAGGAATTTGCCATTAGCTATATGAAACTCCTGTGGGTGAACCACATAACTAAAAAATTAAATGCGCACATGTGAGAATCAGTTCAGATCCATAGGACAAGCAAAATTAATCTTAGACATTTTGTCAATGGTCATTAAAGTATGAGAAAGTTCACAGGTAGTTTCTAAATTAGAAAGGCTGAGCCTTACAGCAACATGGTGTAAACATGAGTACCAGAATACAATAATCAGACTCAGGCATTTCTCTGAATTTGCCTTTTAAAAATAAATTATGCCATTAAGCATTAAACACAAGGATTACTATTTCACAAACTGCTAGTTTAATCAAAATGTGGTGAAAACTACTGGCATATGACCAAATACTAAAAGAATCTCAGCTGTTCTAGAAATAAAACACTTGTTTTCAACTTGAAGCAAAACTTTTTATGGTTTAATCTGGAAATACAGCATAAGAAAAAGAAGGGAAGTCTCTTATGAGACAAAAATGCAAAATCAACTTTCAAAATCATGATGGGGAATTCATTTTAATTCACAAAAAACCTAAATGACTACATTCCTAAAAATTAAGTATGCACATTTTCAAGAATATTTAGAAACATAGGCATTTATCCTCACTATAAGACATTCTTACAGGGCCATGTACGAAACTTAGAAAATGATAATGCTAGTTAGGGACATAGTCATGTCCCTTCTCTGAAGGGGACTGATGCATTAGATTCTTGCAGTTAGGGAGTCTTAGTTTTCTATACTTTCTAAAAGTAATTCAATTAACTTAACATTTCAAAGCATGCTTTGAGTATTTGTGATTTACCAACTTGCTTAATTATTTCAAAAACTACCTTATTTTTATATGCAGTCACTATTTCTCAGCCAATATAAAAGACTAACACAGTAAGAATAATGCGATAGGAACTACATTAGATTGGAAGTCCAAGACATTTGCTCACCCATTCATTTCTTCATTAAATAAACATCTGAGTATAACTTTAGTGCCAGATAATGAACACTGAAAACAATATTTAAGTCCCTGAAGAAACGCAATACTATATTTCATCAAATTTGAGATGCCATCAATCACAAGACAAACTCTTAACGAAGAAAGAAAAAATGCTTTCAATTATGACCTAATGCTTTGAATGATTCACACCAGCCTCTCACTGCTTTGATTTTTTTCCAGTCTATTCAGTAAAGTTTGGCAACTCTTCCTGTCTTCAATATATTGTTTAATATTTTTTTTTAATTTTTATTTTTTTATTATTCATATGTGCATACAATGCTTGGGTCGTTAATTTCCTGGGCATGTGTGTTACCTTCTAGGTTAATTCTTTTTGATCTAACCTTTTCTCTAGTTCCTGGTCCCCTTCTCCTATTGGCTATCTTTTTTAACACATCTCAGTACAAAACAAAGTTTTACCTACTTTTGGGTATTTTCCCTGCTTGACTCCCACAAAGCACTTGGTTGTTGCTTTTTAAAAAAATGTTACTGAAACAATGATGATTTCTCCAATGGTAAATGTTTATTTCACTAATACCAAATTTATATCTACTTTGGTCTGTCCTTTTCTCTGTATTCAATAACTTTTTGTTTCAATGTCAAATCATACTGAAATCATTCTTTGAAAATATTTTAAGTGAAACATATTTACTGAAAATAAGTCTAAGCCTGCACCTGCACAGGTGTAGATCATCTGCTGAAAGGACCACCGGACTGCCTAAAACTGGAAGACACTACTGACTAAATAAATACATTAGATACACTCCAATTTCAAAGACAGTAAAATATGAAAAGGTGTGTGTCTTAGAATCACAGCAGTAACAGTAGTAAACACTCATGTAGCACTACGATGTAAGCACCATTGTATATACTTTAAATACAATACGCCATGAAAATCTATAAGGTTAAGTACATTATGTACTTCTAGATAAAGAAACTGAGGCAAGGTGGCATTGGGGCAGGCTAGTGTCTGAATTCCAGCAGCCAATATCCAGAGGTTATGCTTTTAACCACTGTCATTCTGCCTCTTGAGTAAATAATCAATAACTAGCTTTGCAGTCTGAGGCAATTTGTAAGGAAAGGGATTCCTCTACTTATTTGGAAAAGGAGGAATGGTTAGGGAGTTCTTTCCTAGGATCAAAATGTAATTCTATAATCCTCTTTATTAAAACTTTAAACCAATTAAAAGACCTTTACTATCATGAACTAATGAGTGAAAGAAATGTAACTGTCATTATTAATATAAAATAGACATAGTTGGGGAAGTATTAAAGAAAACCATACACTAGTGCCACTACTTCACAACTTTCAGGTGATAACAAAAGGTTGGCCATAGATATAAATAATCCAACTTGAGGGTTTTATACTACTGTAAACATTACATAACTCATTTTAAATCTTCAAGGGCTGGAGGCATGGCTCAAATGGTAGAGTACTTGCCTTCAGTTCAAACTGACCGCCAAACAAAATCTTAATTCAAAATTAACATATGAGGGCACCCTCTCTTGGGACCTCCCCTTCAAATTCTGGGTGCTCTACTCTCCCACTTTATACTTTTCTATCTCAATTTAAAAAAAATTAACATATGATTACAATGTGCCAGTTTTTATGGCTACTCATAATGCAGAGCCCCAATCCTTAAATTTCTGTTAATGTCTGAGGGAAAACAACAGATTAATAACAGATGCAAATGCTGCAACATTTTCCCCTTGATCCAATTTAAGGATGGAATTAAATATGCATCACACACTTAACAACTCTTCTGCCCCAAGGGGGGCTGTCACACACTTTGGATTTTCTTATATAGGCCAACCCAGCTGGTCTCCCTTCTGAATGACCTCCCTCATGTCCACAGACTCCAGTCATCACCCATCACCAATAATTCCTAATATTTCACTTTGAGGTTGTCCTACAGAAGAGTCAACAAGGGAAAGAGATCAAAATACACAGTGTCTTCAAATCTTTCTTAAATGTCAAATATCATATCAATTTCAGTCTGATTTTCTTTTTTACAGACACATAAATAATCTTTCCCAAGGAAATCATTAAAAAGTTTTCTGGGGAAAAGAACAAGGAATATAAGTGATCATTGGCAAAGTGGCTTAACGAACAGAAGAAAGGGGAGATGCTTACAGACAGCCAGATGTTCACAGGGAGCTAGCTCTTGCAGTCCAAAGGATTTACCAGTACCTACCTTCCCATGCTGCCCGGCCCGCTCATAACAAATGACCACGTCTTCCCACATCTCTAGCTTCTCAAATATCTGAAGGGCTGAACTGGTACATCCCAACTCAAAAAGCAAACTTGCCAGCTGGCGCTAGAAAAACCAAGTTAGAAAAATGAACACTTCTTGATGTAAGTAGAGATTTCTGTTTCACTTGCAGATATACCAGAATCTACCTTCTGAAGGGCTGCTTATTGTAATAAATGCATAATTTCTAGAATTCAACCTCTACCAATTAGGAATTGGTGACAATCAAGTTTATTTCAGTAAGTTTCTTTATAGGAGATAAAGAATCAAAAACCAATATATAGGGCTGGCTAAGTGGCTCAAGTGGTAGAGTACCTGACTGGCAATCATGAGGCTCTGAGTTTAACTCCTAGTACTGCCAAAAAAAAAAAAAAATTATATATTCAATACTCAATATATCAACTCTTTAAAGAACTCAGAAAAACTTAAAAAACAAAATCAACTATTTCCTTCTCACCTGAAGATTCTATATATGACAATCTCATTTGTAATGGTAAGAGCCAATAAATCAATTTTCAATACTCTGAGTAGGCAATGCAGCTAAGGTAAAATCTATCCATTAGTTCTTGCGAAACTTATACATGAGTGCATCCCCAGCTCATTCTCACTCAAGTCTACTTACATTTATTTTAGGCACATTCTAACAAACTTAACTACCTAATTTCTTAGTCACTGGCAGATAAAAACGAATAAATTAGGGTAAGGTCAATGAAGGTTAAACATATTCAACTACAGATACATTATGATTTACAAGTGGTCTGTTCTGGAGGAGTGGAAAAGTAGATGAGGTTCTTGAATAAGTCATAACTTTACATTAATGAGAACTGTGCTACTTTCTCTTTAAAAACACTTTTATTGCTCTTTAAAAATTCAGCACACATTTAAAAATTAAGAAACTAATAGATATGGGAAATCTGGATTGAAAAAACAACCTAAAATTAAAATGAAATATACCAGAAAGCTATAAGCTAATGTATTATCAAAATAAATAAGGGTTAGTACAAGATTTCTGTATCCCATGAAATAGGTGAATGTGGCCATTTCATAGCATCGAAGTAAACCTTTAAAAAAAACCTGGACATAGGATGTGGGAGCTGCAATAAAATGTTAGTACAAATGTAGTTGGTTCATTTAACAGATGAGAAAATTGGTGGCATTCAAGATGACTTGGCTAGTTAGAGGCAGAGGAAAGAGTAATAAATACTGTTTTAACGTACTTTCCTGTGATTGCTTCATCTTTTAAATAATACATAAAGTTAGAGTCACTCCTTATAAAACAATAAAAAAGTTATTCAACTTCTGTTTATTTTTTCTTTGGCAAAGGGAGGACACTGAGACATTGTCTCACTACATAGCCCAGGCTGGCCTGGAAATTGCTATGTGGTGCAGGCTGGCCTGGAACTCATGAGTCTCCTGTCTCAACTTTCCCAGTGCCAAGTCACCATACCCTGGCTATGATTTAACTTTTTTTTTTTTTTTCCTGATACTGGGGTTTGAACTCAGGCCATCATGATTTGCTTAGGCAGGCATTCTACCACTTGAGCCACTCTCACAGCCAAAAAGCAAATAACATTTTATTTTTTTATGTTTTTGGTAGTACTAGAGTTTGAATTCAAGGCCTCATGCTTGCTAGGCAGGCGCTCTACCACTTGAGCCACTCCACCAGCTATAATTCTAAGTTACCATATTATACTACACATATAATACACAAAAGAGGACAGAAAGCTGATTGAAATGCCAGTAGTTACTAAATCCCCTAGAACTCTAGCTAACACCATATGACTCTACTTAACCACTCTGTGCCATAGTCTCCCCATCTGTAAAAATGGAGCATTTTACAAAGTTGTTGCAATAAAATATGATAACCTGTATGGAAAATGCAGAACAAAATATGCATCATGCTAAGTGTGTGTTACAAGTCGTCATTACGTTATTAGCTGACGTAACTGCAGCTCAGTGAAGAGGTAAGAAAGGAGGTAAACTAGACTAAAAGTGAAGACATCACAGGTTTAGTGATCAACACTGGAAAGTTTATTGCACTGAGCCTCAATTTTCTTTATCATAAAATTAAGAAACCAGACCACGTATGTAAGTAACCTCTAGAGCTAAATTTTTACAAAATAGAGGAACCACATCTATAATACAGCAGGAGCCTGGGAATCTGCACTCAACACAGAGCTTCAGGAGCTGCACTAGGTATTCTCAGACTCTCAGAAAGAAGAGAAGGACTTGGGGGAGTGGCTCAAGCGGAAGAGCACCTACCTAGCAAGCATGAGGCCCTGAGTTCAAAATCCCAGTACCGCCAAAAAGAAAACAAAGGAAAGAGGCAAGCAGTTAGGTGTATCTCACAACATAAAGAACCCAATAAGTGAATAAATGCTTTCTTTCTTTTACTTCTTGTAAACAACTTAGGTTTAGTATCACTTTAATTAAAATAGCATTTGAAGTAGTTAGCAATCTCCAGCTAGATACTTTTATTTTCACTGAAATATTTAAAAACTCAAGCACAAGTTGAAATCATTCTTTTCCAAAGCATTTACCTTTCTAATGCAAATATTTTCCCTATCTAAGAACAAAGGAAAGTACCTGAATGGCCCAGTGAGGTGGTACTTGACAGCAATAGAAAATCTTCAGGCGTTCCACTACAGATGTGGTTTTGTCTTCAAATTGGTCTGCAAGAGCCTGAAATACACAATAATCAGAATCTATGTGTGTAATAACTTCTGGATATGAACAAAGTGCCTACCGTAAAAATTATACAAGTGCACATGCAAACACTAAGAACTCAAGTCATAAGGTTGATGGGATGCGTGATTTTTTTCTTCAATTTCTTTAAATGTTTAAAAAATCTTAACGTTAATCAATATTCACATAAATTTTTATATTAAAAACTTACCAAGGCTTGAGAAGTGCTTGGTGGTAGAGGATGTGCAAGGCCCTGGGTTCAATTCCCAGTATGGCAAATAACAAAGTAAAAAGCTTACCACCAACAACAATGAACAAACTTACCAGGAAAACTATTTTAAAACCAAGATTTTCTATAGTAGTTCTTTCAAAGAACTGGCCTTATTAATAAGCATTCTTAGGGGCTGGGGATATGGCTCAGTGGTTAAGTGTTTGCCTGGCATGTATGAGGCCCTGGGTTCGATTCCCAGTACTGAAAAAAAAAAAAGAAAAAAGAAAAAAAATAAGCATTCTTATTTTTTCTAAGAAAAACTGTTCTTTAGTGTATCTGTTTTACAACATAACACCATTTCGGCAATGGCACTCTCTAATATCAGAAAGAAACTGTGTAAGGAACTTCACTAAGAACTATTTCCTCAGGAATTAAGGAGAAAAGTAGGTCCACCTGATCACAAGAGCAAGTTCTGTCACTCCTCAGCAAGAGAGCAGTAAGGCTGAACGTTCATGCATGCCAGATCGTCTGCATGGTGCAGTGGGCAGCGGCAAGCTATATGCATTGAAGAATCCCTCTGATGTACTGAAATTCTGCCTTGGTAATGAATAACTGAGCTCTTGGAGGCTATATCAAGAAGCAGACCAACAACATCAAGATGGCTGACTTTAAACAAAGGAACCCAAGCCAGTGGCAAAATCAAAGGCTGGCACTATCCAGAGGTCAGGTGACCAGCCACCAAAAGAACACTGATGTTTAATATCAGAGTAGATACAGATGCACCCCGGAACCCCAGACAAGCACGTGCACAGCAGCCCCAGAAGCATGATCGTTTTCTCTGGCCTCTCCATTTATCCTCAGTTTGCACTAAGTATACATTATTTTTCTGATAGGCTTTCTCTCAGCTGGGATTTGTCATCATCTTTTTTCCCATAATGCAAAATTACCCTTTTTTTTTTTGGGGGGGGGTGAGGGGAGCCAGTTTTCAGAGACCTGTCTTATGAGGATTAGATGGTAGTAACATGTCAATTTGAGTGTTCTGATTTTAATGCAAATGTTGGTTATGAAAGGAAAACGTTCTTACTGTACTTGAGGATGAGTGGTAAATTCCTCGCCAAAACTTCAAGATACAAAAGACAGTGTACTAGTACCTTCTTTCAAATTGTTTCAAGTTTTTACAAAATTCATTTGAAAAGTTAAAAAAAAATTTAAAAGTAAGATAGCCAGGCACTGGTGGTTCACACTTTAATCCCAGCTACTCAGGAGGCAAAGATCAGGAGGATCACAATTCCAGGCCAGCCCAAGCAATAGTTTGTAACCACAGCAAAATGACTGGAGGTGTGGCTCAAGTGGCAGAGCACCTATTCTGCAAACATTAAGCCCTGGGTTTAAACCCCAGACCCACCAAAAAAAAAAAAAAAGTCAGAACAAATTGAGACATAATCAGACTCCTAAACCATCTCGGTCAAAGCTTTCTGGCCTTACTTCACAGAAACTTAATAACAAAAAGGTTGTGGGCTTCTACCCAATGCTTTTAGTTATGGCAGGGAGGGTAGAGAGGAATCACTTCAGTCTGCATACATATGGTTACAATACATGAATACAGATCACAGAATTACTTTGTGGAAAGGGGGAACAATTTTTCTTAGCAACATATAATTTTTTTTGGAAAGGAAAAAATAGCTAATGCTCATTTAATAAACAAAAAACAAAGTAACATCAGGAAATTTGCTTTGTCTTAGTTATATACAAAAAATTTATTTTCAAACAAAACTCGTGCTGTTTGTTGTAGTGACTAACTAGCTAAAACATGTTAAGTCCTCAGTAAATATTTCCTAACTTATTATTAAACAATTTTTTTGTGAATTTAAGATATTTTTGGATGATCTCGAACACCCTCCAAAATGGAGATGGCCACTGGAGAGCGCAGAAGCAATCAACACTCATTGAGCCTCATACCATGGAAGAAGCACCTTGATTAGGCCATACACATGCTAACGATTAAAAACAGACCTCGAACCTATTTTTATTACACTCTTACACACAGCATCCTTCTTCCTACCTCAAGCATGACAACCACCTAAATAAGACTTACTTACCCATAAGCTAAGAACATGATATGAATATAGATAAGTAAGGAGTTCAAAGTTTATTGTTATTTCCTCCACTGGACTCAAAATATTACTTTTGATTTGTTAATTTACTGAAAGTAAGAAGACACCATTATAATACATCTTAAGGTTTTTCAAAGCAGGATAATTTTTATCAACTTGTTCTGAAATGACTCCATCATATCCAAACAAGCAGGAGTCCTTTAAGGCGTGGTAAATGGGAAAAGTGATGCTGGCAAGTGACATAGTCTGGACTCTCTTCTAGGTGTATCCCTAAAAGTTAATCATTTAGCCACAGTGACAATTATCTATGAAATGATTTCTCAGATGACCGTTGCATTTTCAACAATCTGTGAGGATGGCTTTATCAAGAGTGTTTTGTTTAATTTTGAGGAGGTTACTGGTTAACCGTAGACAACATTTGCTGAACATAAGTATCATGTACATTCATGAGGAGCAAACCAAGTGCCCATATAGTCTAGAAGACAATGGAAGAAATTTCAGTGCAAGGAGAGTGGACCTGAATGAAAGCCTCAATTACTACTGTACAAATTTATGTGATAAACAGAACATGAACAATGTACACAGTGAGAGAAAAGCATACTGCAATCTTTCCCATACACCCAGAACTGCTGTAAAGCACTGTGTCCTATTATCATTTTACCTCCCCAGTTTTTCATCCCACTTTCTAAATTTCATAAATTCATGAAATTCATGGGTACATGGTTATAAATAAAAACTGATATGAAGAGGTAATTTTTTCAGGAAGATGTTAAAAAGAAGACGGAGAGAAAGAGAGAGACAGACAGAACATGCAAATATACCCTAAACCAATCAAGAGTGGTTAAGCTTCTAAAGAAACTAAGAACTCAAAGCAAGACAGTCTACTGGGGCTGGCAGGTGGGGGAGACATGTGGGTAAATGGGAAAAATAAGGAAGGAGCAGAGAGTGAAGAGACCTCTGGGGTGCAGTCCAGAGGTAGGGAGAATCAGGTCACAGAAAATCCAGCCACTACTACCTTATTCATTTACCAGAGATGACTTCATGTTCCATGTATTATTGTGACATCAGAATGTTTTCAAGGTGTTTGTTCATTTGGTTGTTTTGAGGTAGGGTCTTGCTATGTAGCCCAGGCTAGCCTTAAACTTGCCATCCTCCTGCCTCAGCCTCCAAAGAGCTGGGATTATAGATGTGCACCACACCAGATTTGTTTTCAAGTTTTAAGACTTCCTTTTAATGTCATTTTCTTACAAATTCTACCTAAAGGCACCTATCCTTTGTCCTTTAAGAAAAAGTATTTGTTCATATGGAGCCCCAAACCCCCTAGGATAACAACTCGAACATCTACATGAGCTGCAGTCCCACAGATCAGGGGTCATCACTATGAAATAAAATTCCAGAAAGCACCAACATACTGCTTCTTTTTGGTGCTCTGTTTTCAGTAGAAAAAGAATTCCCAGAAAAACTGTAGAGAAGATATGCCTACATTTTAAAATTAGCACACGGAGAGTGACCTGGGATATTAGAATAATTCTGAAAAGGCCTGGTATGATTTAGACTTTATTTAATAAATGTGCTCATATCTAAAAGTATGGCATATATATCTTCAAAAGAACAGAAAGGGTCCCAGAGGACCTATCCTTTCACTGAAAACTCTTCATTCTCACTAGAATGATATCAGTGTTTATCAGCTTTCTGAAGAGCCAAGTAGAAATTAATTGATAATCTAAAAGGTATGAGTACTCATATGTCAGATCACCTTAAACTCACTTTGTTGTATAGTCTTTGAACATGAATGCATGTGTGTAGAAAGATGGGATTTATTATAAAAATATGTACTTAACCAAACATATCTAACAGGAAAGCTAAACAGCTTTCTTTGACAAGAACCTGCAGTCACTCAGCTGTGATTTACAAACAGAGCAGTCAAGTTAATTGTCACCTCAAATTCCCAAGCCTAAGAAAACTTCCAATAGAAACAGCAGAATTAGAATTAAAATCTACCGACACACCTAAGTATCAACATCACTAAATGTGCTGCTAACTCAGTTTTACCTCGTAAGTAGGAAATGGCAGCTCTGAGAAGTAAAAGCAACTTACCCAAAGTCATAATGCAGTGGAATAGGCAAGCTTGTCTGCCTCCAAAGACAAGAACCGGCAGCTTCATTAAAACCTTATCTCATCACTATGTGGACATTTAACAGATATGTAAAAATGAAAACTTGTTTCTTGTTGGAAAAAGCTTAAGAACTTTATTTACCATCTTTTCTCCTCCAAAAGTCCATAATGGGAGTCAGGATGTGGGCTGGTCAAGAACATACTCAGTTATGACTCTGTCCTGGTAGGAACAGGGGAGGAATGGGAGTTGGGAGAACTAGCTCTCTTTTCATGACTCCAGAGTGAAGACAGGAACCTACAAAGATAGGCTTTGAGGAAGCCCAGATGGCCTCACAGAGCATCCCCTTCCTCAGCCACACCTCACCTGCATAGTCCTTAAACTTTTTGATCTTAGGGCCCTATTAATTGCTGAAGGACACCAAAGAGCTTTTGTTTCTATGTGGTATAATCAATCCATATTTAACATGTTAGAAATTTAAACTAAGAAAAAAATTTAAACTGAGAAAAAATTAAATTCACTTTAAAATAAGATAATAAAAAAATAAGATAATAAATCA